GCGTGCGTGCGTGCGTGCGTGCGTGTGTGTGTATTTTTTAATTCACGTAATGAAGTTTTAGTTTTATAGTGTAGAAAAGCACTATGTGACTTCAAATAGCCCCCAAAAGGTGCTCCTTTTATTTGATTGTATCTGTGCTAATAGGCTCTAGTAACTATAGAATAAATTAGTCTTGAATGTGTAACACTAATAACCACACATTAGTTTAACTAGTTTCTAAAGTCAGATTTGTCTTGTGATTATACTCTTCAAACAGGCATTTAAATTTTTAGAATTCTACTAGTTCTTTGTTGTGTATAAACACTGATATGTTACATGCATGATAAACTCTGTTTAAACAAAAGGTTATGATTTTGTACCTGACTGTTGGACACAGCTTGTTGGTGATATGGGGAGAACCTGGTCTTGACAGGGTCCTCTGATGTAGGACTGAGAGGCTTTGGATCCGACATCGAACGCTGCACACTTTTTATGGGTCTTGGTAGAGTCTGGTGGCGTTGGGGTGACTCGGCGGTGAAGGCCTTTTGCTGGGGCGTTACGTGGGCCTTGTTAAGCTTCTCCTGTGAGGCAAATGTTGTCTCTAGCATGCGATGAGGAGACAGCGGAGATACAGGGGAGTATAGCACTTGGGGAGATTTGGGGGGCTGGCGAGAATGAGACTCATTCTGTTGCTGCTGATAGCCGATTTCCAAGGGGTCTGGTTTCCTCCTCTCAAACTTAACAACTCCTTGGAGTCTAGGGGAGATTGGGTCAGATGTGTTTGCTCCTACTATATGCAGACTTGTTGAGTAGGGGCTGATAGTTGTGGGCACACTTAGCTGAGGGGCGACCACTCCCTGGGAATGAGACTCTGGTTCTGTCTGGCAGGCCAGACTCTCTCCTTTGTGCGTTCTTTCAGGAGCCGCAATGTAATGTAACAGGTCAACCTTTGAGGTTTCTGCCACTGTAATGTGGATTGCAGGCGAAACCCTGCCTAGTTGGTCAGGTTCTGTTTGGCATGATGAATCATTTGTGGTCTGAATAGCTATGCTTGCAGAAACCACTTTGGATGATCCTTCAGATTTAGCCTCACCGCTAGATTCAGAGTGCTTGGATGCACGTGATCGCCTGCGCCTTACGGGCTGCTGGTCCCATTCTGCCTGGTCCTCCTCATCAGTCTGTACACTGCAGTCTGCAATTCGCCGAGTTCTCCTGCGCCTGTTCATGAATCTTTCCTCTCCATCTTCGTCATCTGTTTGCACACAGCTGTCTGTAATCCTTTTCACAGAGTCCTCCTCTGAGCCATCCCTCAGCCGAGGCATGGAATTCTGCTTTTTCATAATCTTAGAGTCAACCTGTTTGTCACTGCTTTTTAAAGACATTTCAGAGGCTGAACTATGAATAGGTCGAGCTGCCACCACGGCTTGGACCAGCTGTCCATCTTGCCAAAACTGAACACTCTGTCCATCTTGCTGAATAACTCTACCACTTTGGTCACAAATAATAAACCCTTGAGGGGGACCTCCTCCAACAACAACACCTTGTATAGCACCTTGGGCAGATGTTGCTGCTGCTGCAGCTGCAGCAGATGCAGCAGCAGCTTCAGCCGCCACAGCTGCCGCTGCTGCCTCCACTGCTGCTGTCTTTTGCCTTTTCTGCTCCTCCAACTGCTGCTGGAGCTGCTGCTGCAATGACTGGATTTGCTCAAGCTGCATTCTCTGTTGAGCTAGTTGTTCCCTTTGCATAATGAGCTGCGTTTCGCGCTCAGCTTGCTGCTGCTGTAGGACTTGCTGTTTGATCGTCTGCAACTCTTGGATCTCACGCTGAACCAGGAGCTGTTCTTTTTCTCTGTGACGCTGAAGCTCCATACGATCTCTTTCAAGCTCCTCTTGCAGACGTAACTGTCGTAATTTCTCTAGTTCAACCCGTTCTCGTTCTAACTGCAGCATGTGCTCTTGTTGCTGACTCAGTCTCTCATCTTCCTTACCTTTCTGAGCATCTGTGGGTGGAGAAAGTTTGGAGCTTGGTGCTTGTGCAGAACCATGTGGTGGTGCTTGCGAGTGACTTTGCGGCAAAACTAACTGTTGAGGCTGACTGACAGGTTGTGCTTGAGTTTGGGTTTGAGTGAGGGATAAAGGCTCAGTTTGAGCAGGCAACTGCTGTGCCTGCACTGGCTGGACAGTTGAAGGCTGGCTTTGAGCTTGAGAGAGAGCTGTAATACTCTGCGATGAGAGCTTAGAGTGGTCTATTTGATGATCAGCTGTTGTGTACATCCCAGTGGCAACAACACTTTGTACTGCAGTTTGTGATGGTGCAATTGTTGTAACTGTTTGTGGAGCAACTGTTGTTAAAGGCTTTCCAAGGTACATTGGAGTTTCTTGGTGGGAGCTGCTTACCACGGGCATACCTCCTGATGGTGTGGCAGACGTTTGATATTGGTTTGGAGGAGGGTATGAATATGCTCCCTGCGTGGACAGAGGCATCCTGGGAGTCAACTGAGGCAACCTTGTAAGACTAGCCAATGGTACAGCAGTTACACCTGTAGGGTACGATCTGTAAATTCCTCTCGGCATGGGGCGCAGGACAGAGGCAGGCTGTGTAGTAATTGGCAAGGTAGAGGCAATGGGAGCATTTATGGTAGAATATATCATTCCATCACCTCCCCTCAAAGCAGCAGGGTACAAGGCGCGTATGCTAGCTTGTCTAGCATTTATTAGATTTGTTAGGGTTTGGCCATTTGCTGTTGGTCTTCCATCTGGTCCATAGAGTAAATTTGCTCTTATTGATGCTAAGCTTTGCTGGAGATTTAACCTTGCTAAAGGTCCACCCCTTCCTGCCCCATATGGTAATTCTGCATTAGTTCCATACCGGTTCCCATACTGATCCACTGTGTTAAGAGCTGCACACATGCGACTGATCTCCCTGGCAGTGGTCGCACTATACTGAGCCAAATTGGAGTCCTGTGATACTGTTAGGTCACGTGAACTGTAGGCATAGTCTGAACTGATATTTGACATGGAGCCATATCGGCGAAGGGGTAACGAAGGGCCTCCGAGATCTCCTTGGTGACGCAAGTCTGTGTAGGAACCATACTGTGCTCCCATGCCAAGGTATCCACCTTCATAAACCTGATTTATACTGCTAAGATCTACTGCCATACCACCCTGGAGATTATTCTGGTAGTGGCTAGCATCAGTCATGGAAGGCAGATTAGTATCCGACATGGATGGCTGTATTCTTCCTGAGGGGACTATGGGTGTTTGGTATGCTTTATGTTCGTCTGTCATTCCTTGTGTAACTTGAGGCTGGTGTTGTTGTTGTTGGCTAATGCTGTAGTGAGGTGACTGGGGAGGATGGGCTGCTTGAGAGCTTTCAGTGGTCGTGTTTTTATCTGAGGATACTGTGGTAGACTTCTGAGTGAGTGACCCTGAACAGGAACCACCAAAGGGCAATTTGTAAACAACATCACAACAAGCCACCTGGTTTTCTGGTTTGATCTGTCCAGTAAGATCCAAGACCTGAGGAGGGGGAGGAGGTTCCTCTCGCTTTATCAGTTGAGTCACTGTGCCACTTTGTGATGGATTACTCTCATCAAGGTGCACCATCATCACATGGGGCTTACCTGTGGACAGGTTCATTACTGTTGGCTTATTTTTTAGTTCTAAGGCAACTCCACCATACAATTCGTGGGGAATATTAGAAGCAGGAGCCCCAGAAACTGATGGTGGAGCCAGTGGGGAGACTCTAGGTATGGCACTAGCAGTCACTCCAGGCTGGGCACTGCTTGTCTGGTTCACTACAAGGTCTTTTTTTATCAGCAGTGGCTGGACTTGATTAGCCAAATTATAACGAGCAAAAGAGGATTGCTGCTGGTGCTGCTGGAGCTGTTGTTCCAGAAGCTGTTGCTGCTGAAGCAGCTTCTGCTGCTGTAACTGCAGTTGTTGCTGTTGTATACCCAGATTCTCCAGACAGGCATCAATTTTGGGAATAGATGGGTCTGTGATTGGTGGCTTACTTTGGGTTAAACAGACAGCTGATCCAACACCTTGCCCAAGATCCACACGGTTTTGTAATGGATCTCCATACACGACAGGCTGCTTTGGTTGGGATATGAATGTTGAACCTGCGACTGTGACACTCACTGTGGTTGGCGTTGATACAGATACGTGTGGTTGCTCTTGTGCATTTAGGTTCATGATAAGAGGTTGCACTGCTGTGTGTCTACCAGCCGGCTGCTCTGCTCCTAAAGAGTATCGTCTTGTGTCAGAGGCAAGGGATGTTAGGTCCATTCCCTGGTCTGTCATTATAATTGGAGCTGGCCTCATTGGGGCCCTCAAATCCACAATATTAGTTCCAAGAAGTGTTTCACCCTGACCTACAACCTTTGAAGTGCCTTGAATATTTGAAATTTTACCTAGCGATATCTCCACAGATCCAGCACTTATACCAACATTAACTTTTTCAACATTCTGAGCCATCTGAGAAGAATGTTTCAGGGACTGTTGAGATAGGTGTTTTTGAGGTGATGTTGGCGAACTTGTCGAAGAGGGATGCGAGCTGTAAAGTGTTTTACAACTTGCTTGTGTTGGTGATGACAAAGGCGAAGTGGAAGAATTTACAGTAAGTGGCTTGGCAGGACTAGTTGTTTCTGAACTGAGAGTTATCACCATCACCGGTGAATCTTGGGAGGACTGCTGTCGTATGAGACGTGGCGAAACTGCTCTTTGAGGTGCCTGAGCCCCATGGGATGCTGCAGCTGATGTAGGACCACCAGGCACAGATGGCAGTTGCCTGCCGCCACTACTAGTGGATCGCACAGATGGGGCATGAGTTGGACTTTGTACTGGAGAAGCAGTGGGAGAGACTGGGGGGCTAGGCCCTTTGAAAAGGGAAAAGACTCTGGAGGTCAGGGAGGATGTTCCAGGGTCAGATGGTGCCTGTGTTGGCCTCTGGGAGCCTACCTTGGTGCCAGCAGGTACCGGGCCACCTGTTTGGCGATTTGTCACAGTATGACTCACAGCTTTTGTTGTGGCAACTCCAACAACACCTTCAATTTTGGCACTCTGTGTCATCATCCTGTTTTGTGTTTCTTTTGATAGATGCTGTGCTGCATGAATACCTGGAATTCTTGGATCACTGCCTGTTGTAGAGAAGGACATAGGTGCAGTAACCTGTGTTGGGCTTGAGCCAGGGGTGAGTGCAGTTCCAGCTTCAAGATGATGCTTATCATCAGACTGAGAGGTACTTTTCCGCTGATTAACAGCTTGCCCCTGCCTCTGCATGAGCTGTGCTTTCTTCATCATCTCCTCGTACACTTCCTCTGCACTTTTCAGTGTTTTATCAGATGGTAAAACTGCTGTCTTTTCTGTTGGAGAGTAGAGAGAAGTAAAGGTTGGAAGGTTATACTCATTTCCTGATTTGTAAAGCTTTCCACCAATTATCTCAAAGCCTTCTGCCTCAGAGTCCATAGAAGGTGAGTACTCCGAACATGACGATCTGTGAAGTTCCTCCATCTCAGCAGCCTGCCTCAGCTCCTCTGTTGGTGATGCATCCTCGATAGGAGAGAGATTACTTGGAGGAGTTTTGGACCTTTCTCTGCGTCTTTGGGCTCGTAGCTCTTCTTTATCCCTTTTTGTTTTTCGGGCAGTACTTCTGATCCTCTGTTGCTCTAAATCTCTCATTTGCTCCTGTTCTCTAAGTAGTTCTTCCTCCTCTCTAAGCTCATCCTCCTCAGATGAGTCCTCAATGGTTGGCAGCAGGGGCCCATGGGAACGATGGCGAGCCTTTCTCTGCTGCTTAGCCTCCTCTAGTCGTGCCCTACGGCTAGGGCTGCTGTCACTGTCATCCTCCATGGATGACACAGATGTGGGGGATGTTCCAGAGGTGTAGCTGGGGGTGGTGGCAGGCAGAGTTGATGAATACTCTCCTTTAGACCGCTCCTCTGGAGACCCAGTCAGACTTTCCATCTCTAGCTCTGGTTCTCTTAGGTCATGCTCAGTACTGAGCTCCATGTCTCGATTGTAGCTGTTGGTGTTATTTAGCTCAATGGTTTTAAAGCGGCGAAGGCCTCCAGCGATCACAACGTCTTCTTCTTCATTTGCCTTATAAGCCCCTTCTGAAACCTTGGCGTCATCCTCAAAACTATTAGAATGATGAGAGAGTCGTCGCCTCTCTTTGTTTAAGTCTCCACTTGTTTTATGTGACTTTTTTACTTTCTGATTTCCATAATCTTCTAAATCTTCTTCATCAGCACTCATCTCCATAATTTGCCTCCTCATGTATTCTTCATCTGTTAAATCTTTATGTGACTTCTTCTGTCTTACTGGCAATGGTGAGAGACCACTTTCACTGCTGTCCTCCACGTAATCATGCCGAAGCTTACAACTGAGGTCATCTTCTGATTCATCTCTTGCTGCATCGTCATCGGGACTGATGTCCTGTCCTACCGACAGTGAATGTGGCCTGTGCTTCTGATCTGAAGTACTCTTTGACTCCAACAGAGGTTTCATGGAGCTCTCCAGCTTGGTGATTTCTGAGGGGATGGAGGCACCTCTTTCACTGAGCTTGATTCCTTCTTCCCGAATCTGACCAGTAATTTCCCCATGAGAACTGGAGATGCCATCTGAAGAGTATCCAGTGTCACTTAAACTCTGAGAACTTGATTTGTTGGAATCCTAAGAAAAGAGAGGAAGAAGAGAAGAGGTCAGAAGCAAAAAAGACATACTTTTTTCCTGTAATTAATTAATGAAAAAGTATATTACAAGCTTCAGTGCACATCTTGTATCCAACTATTTCATCCAGCTCATCAGTGACATTTCTATGAGCATTTTTGAAATGCTTAGGAGTAAAATTAATTCACTACACCTAATACAGATGAAATAGTCTCTAATAGTAATATATTAGAGAATAATTAACTTGGAAATAACATATCCGTAAAGAGACAGTTCACCCCAAAATAAAAATTCTTACTTCGTGGCGCACAAAGCACCAAAAAAAGTTGTCTTGATACATGGTTTTTTTTTGGGTGGCAGGCAAAAAAGGTTCATTTGAAAATCCAGGAGCTATGTCTCTTTCTAGAATGTATGACTGCACAACTAAAAAAAGACCACCGACCTTGGTGGGAGTAGTTCATTCTAGGAACTATATTCTTTTTATTGAACTACACATGCAAATAAAAAGAAACTATACATGCTGCCACACTGTCACAACTACAAGCCTGACAGCACAGGTAAATGTGATGCAGGTGGTGGATGCAGTGGGGTAGAAAGAAAAAAACTTCTTGAAAGTGATTAGTGCTGGATTCACTATTTATTTAGAGTAACCAGGTCATGATGTTGAGAAACAGACTTTATTAGGGTTGAGTTTTGAGCACCACTTGGTAAGTGGCAGTTAGCTCCTTGATATTCACCAAACTATATGGTGAAAAAAAGTGGGCAGCTCGCACTAAGTTTAGATGGAAAGTCAGCACTATAGGCCAGAGGAAACATAACGTTAGCTTCATAGCATAAGTGCCTAAGTCATTTTTTGGTCAAATTGAGATTTTTGCCTAACTTTACTCCCCTACCACTGCTGCATCATCCTGTCCGTCTGCCTATGTCATCACAAAAAAATGACTTAGGCACTTATGCTATGAAGCTAACGATAAATTTGTCTTTTTTATGTGTGAACTGTTTCTTCAATCAAACAACCAGATATATTAACATTTTAGGTTAAAATCAACCCAAATATTTACACTTTATTTCTTTTTGGTTTTAGAAATTAGGCAAATTTGCAAAAGTTGCCATTTAGAAATATTTATGCATTTGTACTTGTACTTGGAAAAAAAGACCAACTTAACTGCAAAGTGTTTCTGTCTTATAGAAAATAAAAAAGAAAACAAAATAATTAGTGTCATTAGTAATGAATTATTTCATAGTTTATTATGGCTGTTGACTGTCTCGTCTTGATTTGGGTTGAGTTTGCCTTTCAGCATTATGTACACACAGATGGATAAATACACTGACACAGCATGACTATAACAGACAGTTGAACATACAAACAATTACGGACAAATGTCATTTGATTACATGCTTCATTGCCATCTTTGATGCATTCTCCATTGCATTCTTCCAACCGCTGAAGAATAACGAACATGCTTAGAATGCTTAAAATATCATCACGTGTCACATTAAATGAACACAAAAAAAGTTCAAGAAAACCTGCAAATAAAATAAAAGTGGACAAAACATGGCTGCAGAACGAAGGCATGATCTGAATGTAAGAAATGGCTCCTGAGACCAATGATGACGATCATAAGGATGAGGATGAAAATGACATAGATGGTGATGTTAAGGACATCATGATGATGAAAAAAGTCCATTAAAAGGAAATCATCTCACTACCAAGTGAAGGAATTTCTGTATCTCTATCTGTTCTTTGCCTCTCTCAAATGTAGTTTCTCACATTTATTTTCTCCACATGAGGTGACCTTAAAGTTGACGTCACCCTCCTCCGTGCCTTCTTAATGATGTCACTGGTCTTGATATCATAATAATTCCTAAATAAAACTGATGCTGACAACTACCTTTTCGTGACAGCACTACTCTATTTTATGCAAAAGATGTTATGATATAGCACCTTTAGGTAAAGATGTAATTATTTACACCTTAAACTTTGCTCAGGATTAAAGAGATAATGATGACAGAGTGGTGGAACAGATGACGTTATGAAAATTATAATACGAACATAAAATCATAAAGAGCTTGATAAGCACAATAATTTAAAAATGTAAAAAAAATTTTAAAAAAAGAACAACTCTTAATGGAGCAAAATAAAAAAAATGGTGACTCAAGTGGAACAGGTGAAGGCGAAGAAGTTGCAGGTAGCTCACTTCATGGTGTCTTGACTTCTGTGCATCTTCAGGTATCTTCGTGTCTTTTGGAGAAGTGACAGTCTCTGACAATGCCTTCTTTGGCGAGGCTTTGACGTCTTCTTTTAGAGATTTAGATGCAACTTTAGTCTTCTCCTGGCTTTGCAGATGTTTGCGGGCCTGGTTGTTACCTGTGGGTTTAGACTGAGTAGGTATGGTTTTTGAAGGGGTGGAAGAAGCCTTGGCATTGCTGGGTGCAGCTTTACCAGGGGTAGATGAAGTCTTGGGACCAGAAGGGCCCTTAGTCTGAGCAGAGGGCTGAGCAGATACCTTTGTCTGAGTCAGCCCTTTGGCCTGGCTCGGGCCCTTCGTCTGGTTAGCTGGCTGAGCAGGGACCTTACTTTGAGCGTGTGACTGAGTAGGACCCTTAACCTGACCAGGTCCCTTACTCTGAGCCGTGGGTTGTGTTGGACCCTTAACTTGGGAAGGTGGCTGGGTTGAACTCTTAAGTTGGGCAGAACCTTTGGTTTCAGAGGTAGGCCCAGCCTGTTTCACATTAGAGAGAGGGCCACTTACTTGGGGACCCGCTGGTTTCTGTTGTTGTTGAGGACCTGTGGTCCTGGGCCCTGATAGTTGATTGGGCCCTTTCTGTTGAGGTGGTTGTTGATTGGCTGGAACAGGTGACCGGGGGGATGCCATTGGCTGTGGAACAGGAGCTGGAATATCTCCCAAGCTTCCTGACAGGGCCCGCTGTGTCTGGCAGTTCAAGCATAACCATTCTTTCTTCTGAAAAACAAAAAGAAGAAAGCAGGATTTAGCCATGAAGTAAAGAAATCAGATAGGATAACATGATTTCATAGTATGTACATCAGCAAAACAAATTATACACTAATGCTAGTAAAAGAAACAATTTGAATTTTCTGCCACCAGCAAACCTCAGGCATGATTAGGTGCTCATAGTAATATTTTCCAAAACACACTACTGGATTCTTATTCCCAGTGATTGATGGGTACAAGCATAAAGATCTGTCTGTTAGTTAGATATATTAAATCCAAGTCATGTTTCTTCATAAATGGTCACGGTGTGCTAAGGACATGCTATAGCAAGTCTGAACAACTGAATATTTGAAAGCCTGTCCAAACAAGGCCTTTCATCTCCTCAAGAAGACTTAATCATTTGACAGCATTTAGCACTCTCAAACCGAGTACACAGAAGAAAGAGTGCAGCACGAATACAAATGAACACAACTGTTATTAGATTGGACGGGTGCAACAATCATCAGATCTTTTATGGAGCCCATAGCATCTGCAAGAGCAGCATTCACCCTTCACAGTCATCCTCGCTAAGCCCTATGTTTGGAAAGAGGAGTGTGACACTGTTAAAAATCTAGTACAAAAGCCATCACAGACAGGATATTAACATAAACAGATTCAATTTCAGGTCAACACAACACATCGATCAAACTGCTCAATGGAAAGAAATGGTTCGATTACAGGTAATGAAAGCTGAAAATAGAGGGGAAGGAACTATGTTTGTAACACAGCCTCCTGTTAATGACAATCATCTGTGCCTCGGGCCTGAAGAATGAGCATTCCTGTGTCACCGACTTGTACAACAAAACAAATAACCTCATAAACACCTCCATTGCTGATTACCATCTGCCCAAATAAATCATTTCTTTTATTGGTGTAATACTTCAAAAGCATAAATACAGAAGATGGAATTTAACAACATGCCCGGTAACAGCTAATAAATAAAATAATGGTGGTAGGTGTGCAGTGACTGTATCAGAGGACATCTTTACCGTGGTGCAAACAGTCAAGATGGCAGAGAAGGTTGCAAATAAAACATTTATTTTTAACGCACCCTTACGTTTTCATCACACTGCAATGATCAAATGGAAAAGGGAGTCATTGAAGTCATTGGAATGCTGTCTTTCAGTCAAATTCAATTAAGGAAAGTTACATTAAGAAGAGATCCTCCTGAGTTATACAAATAAATGAGAAAAGCCCATGTTCCACGTAAGACAAAGAGAGACTGACAGAGACTGACAAGCATTTAATCAGCAAGAAACATCTGATCAGCACAATAGGGATCTTAATCTAGAGACCCAAGAGGCCAGCATTTGATAGATATGTCTCTAGTGATAAGGTCTGTGAGTACAACAGTCTGTCTTCTTTATCATTTTATACAAAACCTTTAGAGACATTGACCCGGCCCTGTGTAAGGGAGAGACTGATTGTTCTTCTTAGTGGTCCTTGTCTGTCCTCTATTAGATTCAGTGGCCACAATGAATGGTGGCCGCATGGTCATGGACACCCTAATTGAAAAGTAGGATTAAAAACAAACTATAGAAAATGTAGGTATACCAGTTCAACTGCTCATTAATGTGAAGATTAATTCAGCCAATCGCAGGGCAGCAACATCAGAATATGGAAGAAAGGTGATTTCAGTTACTTTGAATGTACAACTACTGTGATTTTCTCTCACAACCATCTTTACACAGAATGAAAAGCGAACATATCTAATGAGAGACAGTTCTTTGGGTGAAAATGCCCGTCAGCAGTCAGAGGATAATAGCCACACTGCTTCAAGCTGGAAGGAAGGCATGGGTAAGTCAAATAACCACTAATTATAATCAAGGTATGAATATACACAAAACATCAAACTTTGAAACAGAGGGGCTACATAACCACAAGACCTCACTGCATGTCACTTCTGTCAGCTAAGAACAGGAAACTGAAGCTACAGTTCACACAGGCTCGCCAACATCGGAAAATAGAAGATTGAAAAAATGCTGAGTCTCGATTGAGCCGTCATTTAGCTTGAATCAACGGTTCAAGCTTGCGTTGGTATAACTGTATGGGGAAGATGTTCCAGGCACACCTTGGGCCCCTACTAACTGATCATCATTTAAACACCACATCCTACTTAAGTATTGTGTTGCTGTCCATATCTATCCCTTTATGATCACAGTGTACCCATCTTCTGATGCCTGTTTCCATCAACGTGTCATGTCACAAAGCTCAAACCATCTAGTCAAAAGTGGGTTTTTACCCATGTGGTGTCCTCGGGATTCCCATATACTTGTTTGCCATTCACCTAGGGACCAGTTTTGACCCGAGGACACCACAAGGGTTCAGCAATGACTTCACTGTACTCCAATGGCCTCCACAGCCCCTAAATCTCAATTCAGCAAAGCACCTTTGGGATGTGGTGGAGCCAAGGATTCATATCATGGATGTTATCATGCCAATATGGACCGAAATCTCAGAGAAATGTTTCCAACACCTTATTGAATTTGAGATGTGACGAATTAAAGCAGTTCTTAAGGCAAAAGCAGGTCCAATCTAGTACTAGCAATGTGTCCCTAATGAAGTTGCAGTAAGAGTATCATTCTGAGACCTCCTCATTTCTTAATTATGATCTAATATAATAAATTCCTAATATAATACATTTCTCATGCATGTATGATAGATAAATAAAGACATATACAGGGAGTGCAGAATTATTAGGCAAATGAGTATTTTGTCCACATCATCCTCTTCATGCATGTTGTCTTACTCCAAGCTGTATAGGCTCGAAA